AGTTCATTTGTGCGAACCTCCATAAAGTTGGAGATAACCTGGACCACAATTTGTGCTTATGTAAATGTCAGCACACAGGAAAATAGCTTTGGATCAAAAAGACAAGTTGTGGTTAATACCCTAAGTAAAATACACGCTTTCCTTTCCACCCTTCATTAGCTTTCTCTAAACATCTGCTGAACAAGAGAATTCCAGCCATAAAAGTGACTCCAGAAATTAAAAATCCTCTCAATTCTCAGATCAGTGCCTCTACATACAAAGCCCTCCATTTCAAAGGGCACCCTCGTCCTTCTGTGTGTGGGAGCCATCAGAGGCTTTAATCCAGAGCCAGACCCCCTGAACATGCACAAGCAGATGCTTGTCCCAGCCCAGCTGGGTGGAAGGTTGCTCAGGTAAGCAGGGACCAGCAGAAAATCAGCTGCCGTCTGCTCAAGGTGATACAGGTGATGTCCTCCCCACACCCAGGCCAAGGGTTTGATTAGAGTTCACTCCCTCCTGCACTCCTTGTTCTCAAACTGGCAGTTTTAATGACAAGTATTTATATATTGACCTCAAGAGCTTCTGGTGCACAGGGGATTGCAGGATCAGATGCAGGTGGAGAGGGAGAGAGGACAACACACAAAATGAGACGCAGGCTCTTTGCTCCTGCCTGGGATGAACACTCAGCACTGGGGCAGCCCCAGAGCAGGGCACACATAAGGAAACCTGCTGATGGATCCTGCACATGCCCACCCAGCAGGGTGTCCAACTTCCCAAAGCTTCTCCTGCCCAGAGCATCCCCAGCCTCATCCTCCCTCCTCCTGGGTGAGGGATAAACACACCCTGCCCTGCTGTGAACATCTCCACACCAGGGTGGGATCCAGGACACCTTCAAGAGCACAAAGGGAGGTGGAAGAGGGTAATGCAAGAGCTCAAGAAAGATGAAACAGCCACTCAAAAGCCACCTGGGCAATTCCCCATGGGAGGAAGGGAAAGGAGCCACTTCTCACCATGCAACAGGCACAGGACCCATCCCACTGAGGGGTCTCTCAGGGAGCAGTGTCTCTGTACACTGTTCCATGACACAAACATCAGCTTTCCTCCAGCCATGGCACTCACCCTACAGGCCAGTCTGATGCTAGAAAGCTGGCCCACCTCTGGTGTCTCAGGATCCTATAAATGCCCAATTTCTCAAACACCTCATGGTCACTAATGGATTCCCACATGACCCCAGAGGAATGGGAATGGATGGAGGTAGACTCTGAGATGAGCTCAGCTGGGCAGAGCATGGTGCCAGTAACACCAAGGGCATGGGTTTGATCTCCATATGGGCCATTCACTCCCTGATCCTTGTGGGTCCCTTCCAACTCAGAGTACTCTGGGATTCTGTGACTCTGCCCAGCACTTCCCAGGAAGCCCATGGCTCCTGCCAAAGCTGGATGCTCTCTCCTGAGCCTCTGTTCCCTCCAGCTCCTCACTCCCTACCCAGTCACACAAGCACAGAAACCCCCTCTTTGTAAACACAAAGACAAAGCGAAAAGTTCATTTGTGCGAACCTCCATAAAGTTGGAGATAACCTGGACCACAATTTGTGCTTATGTAAATGTCAGCACACAGGAAAATAGCTTTGGATCAAAAAGACAAGTTGTGGTTAATACCCTAAGTAAAATACACGCTTTCCTTTCCACCCTTCATTAGCTTTCTCTAAACATCTGCTGAACAAGAGAATTCCAGCCATAAAAGTGACTCCAGAAATTAAAAATCCTCTCAATTCTCAGATCAGTGCCTCTACATACAAAGCCCTCCATTTCAAAGGGCACCCTCGTCCTTCTGTGTGTGGGAGCCATCTGATTAGAGAGAGCAAAAAGCAGCAGAACAGCAAAAAGCAAACCCCACACAACTCGTGCAATGAATTAGGGAGCAATAACAAACTTCTAGAATGAACAAAGCACACATACAGCTCTCAATCAGGCCACAAGGGGACTAAATAGACAATTTGGGGCAAACCCAAGTCTTTTCATGGGTACTTTATGAATTAGAATGAGGAGAAAACTGCACTTGGCCAGTGCCTGCTGTGGTGACTCCCCAGTCCTGTGGAGCATTCCCAGGGTGCTCTTTCAACCCCTGAGTGAAACAAGGGGCTGACACAACGCAGGTTTGTGCACTGCTACCCAAGGTAACTCCAGAACACCGTGAGACCAGCCAAGTGCATCACCTGGGGAGGGAGGAGGCACTGTGGGAGGCACGTCTGGGACAGCTCTTCTCGCACAGAGAGAGCGAGAGGCAGCCTGGTGTTATTTCCAGGATGGCCCACCAGAGAAATGTCATTCAAAAAGAGTGACTGTGACAAATCCTTCCTTTACCAGGCCCAAGGCAGTGTTGTTTAGGTTGTTTTCACGGCCAATGTTTACAGAGATAAATACATACACACACATAAAACATGAGGGTTGCTGCACCACAGAGGGCTGTTATTTCCAATATGTTTTACACTACATGACTCACAAACCAAACCCACAGCAATGGTATGATCAGATTGCTCATTTAATCTCTACAGAATGGAGCTTTTTAAGAGATTCAGTTTTTTAAAGATGGCTTCAACTCCCACTGAAACCCAGCCAAGTCCTATAATGCAGAAGAAATCCATGGCTGGCTGCACCCAAACCGAGGGGTAGTTTCTCTCTTCGGCCAAACGCTTCCTGATGCTTCCCAAGGCGCAGACTTTCCACATGCTGCACTACAGGACACCATGTTTTATGATTTTGTGCTAAACCACGGGTCAGATTTACAGTGAAATATGACTTTACACAACCTCTGGGTGGATTGTTCTGCAGGGGCTTGGCCAAGAGCTCAGGTGGGGTTGGTGAGGCACCAGCACACAACTGCCCGGCCGAAAATCAAAGAGGAGGAGTGAACTCATGTTTGCACACTCCAGTGGGGCAGCAGGATTTCAAATTTAGGTTTTCCTCAAGTGCCCAGAAGGAATGATGATCCAGGCACAGAAAATTCCTGGTGGGGGAGCCGGACCAGCCACTCCCAGGGGCTGTCCCAACACACCCCACTGCTCCCTTCCAGTGGTGATGGGGATTCACCTGGCCCCCATATCTTGCTCTAAACCCCTGTCCTGCTGAAGCACAGCACACAGACATCACTCAGAGAACCGGGCACATTGTGCTCCTCTCAAAACCACACGTACCAAAGATACACTTGACCCAAAGTTACATAAGCACTGTGCCAGAGCTATTTTTTAGCCAGACTGATCAGTGCTGCTATAAATCACCCCAGGACGCAGAGGCCAGACAAGATGTCACATTTATGTGCTCAGCTTTCTGCCTGCCCTAGGAAAACGTTTGTGATATGGGCAGGATCTCTATTCCCTCTCTGCCTCCCCTGGTCTGTAGGTGCATCGCTGCTCCTCAGCACTGAGCAGGCTCCAGTGCAACACCACAGCGTCCTCCCAGTGCCCAGAGCAGCCTGTGGACAGCACAGAGCTGTCCTGAGCTCCTCTCACAACCCCAGCCAGCTCCAAGAGCAGCCCCAGAGCACAGCAGAGCAGGCAGCCATCGAGGAAGGGCAATATCTTATCACTTCAGCTCTCCCCGTGTATCTGTGGGAATGGCAGATTGCATCACAATTACTTCTCCTGGTGTGAGGGCTCCTGTCTTGCAGCTATTGCCTCTTTTTAAATAACTGCCTAAGTCTCCCCAGGAACTTCTGCCCTAGCAAATCCCAGGAGCAGGCAGTTTTATTATAAATAACATGCAGCTTTCTACCTCATTCCTTGTTATTCTTACTCTTCGTCACGTTTGTCACCCGGCAGTGCTGCCCCAGCATCTCGTGGTGCCGGGCACGGGCACAGGCAGGACGGGTTCCTCGTGCAAGTGCATAAGGCAGGAATATAAACAACACTTTCCTTGCTCTCACTGTGTCCAGTGCCATCCCCAAAGCCCAGACAGTGACTGAGCCAAGGCTGGGCACAGGGAAGGGCATTGCCAACTGGCATGGGGAGGGCACGCTGCATTCCTGCTCCTGCCTCACCTCCCAGGCACAGAAGTCAGAGCAGCACGAGCTCGGGTTCAGCACTCAGGGCACACCAGCTCCTGGATCAACACGGCTCAGAATCAGACATCAGCTTCCTAGTCAAAACTCAGAGAGGGAATCACCCTGACACGGCCAAAAAAAAACATTAACTCCGCTAATTCCGACACATCAAAACTTGCAGGTGTTAAAGCTACAGAGACTGGAAGCAATAAACAGGACTCTTGGTTGAGAGAACAACCCCAGCTGGGAATCTGTGGGGAACAACTTGAAAAAAATCAGCTTCCACAGTGAGTGTTTTAATGAGATACCTCAGCCAGACTTCTTACGTCTTTACAACGTGTTTCTCTATCCTGCACAGCATCTTTAAAACTCCCTTTTGACATCTCAGAACTACTGAACCTGGTGAGATTTTAATAGAAATCCCTTTGCTGTGCTATAAAGAGAAGCATTACTTGAGATTTTAATTAGCAGTCGTCAGTGTTGAGCCATAGGAAATACTGAACAGTTTGCTTAACTTCGTAGAGAAAGTGCCTTTGCTTTCTGACCTTCTGCACTCCAGTGATGCAACACACTCGGCCATTTAAGAACTCCTTTCCAAAAACCCAACTCTGGAGGAGTAAAAGCCATTCCCTCAATCAATACACACCGCACTGCTCCAGCCCATGCTCGCCCGCTGCACACCCTGCTCGTTTGATGCAGAAATCGTGCCTCTGTCATCCCCTGACCGCTGCTATAAATCTCAAAGGCAGCATTCTGTTATTACGATTTCCTCCCACCCTGTGCAAGGTACTTTGGGCTTCTAAACACACAGGGAACTTGGAAATCGGGTGCTAAATTGATTCAGACCCCGTTTGCACAGTAACACACAGAAAAGAATGGGTCTGGCATGCAAACTTCAAGCGAGCCGGGCACCTGCTCTGAGCCCCGATTCACCACCCACGACCGTTCCCGAAAGGCATTTAAAGCAGGAGAACTATTCCTACCATTCAGCTGCCTGTAGACTATGTCTTCTAGGAGCGAGAGCCTCTTCAGCACCGCATCCTGGATGGAGCTGCCGCCGTGGGCTGTCGAGTTGGCCACTTCTGCCCTGGGATGGATGTCATGGAAGGAGTCTCCGCTCTTGGCCGTGATGGGTCTGCACTTGGCCAGGAAGAGGACGAAGCCAGCCACGGCGATGAGGTTCAACACCAGCAGGACTTTGACTCTCCTCAGAGAAGCCATCAAACTTCCCGAGGGGCCCCGCCAGCCGCAGGGCTACGGGAGCGGGCCCCGCTGCGAGCGCATCGCGGGGCCGGGGACGATCCGTGGGGCGAGCGCGGGGAGCGCGGGGCTGGGGGAGCGGCGGGGTTTGGGGGGAGCGGCGGGGTTTGGGGGAGCGGCGGGGTTTGGGGGAGCGGCGGGGTTTGGGGAGCGGCGGGGTTTGGGGGAGCGGCGGGGTTTGGGGGAGCGGCGGGGTTTGGGGAGCGGCGGGGTTTGGGGAGCAGCGGGGCTGGCGAGCAGCGGGGCTGGCTGGCGAGGAGCAGCACCGCTCGCCCAGGCTGAGCAGCGGAGCCCGCCCCGGACTATGGCCCCGCAGAGGAGGCGCGGCCGGGGCCGCCCGCCCCGCTCCGCCCGCCGCGCCGCCGCCGCCACTTCATGCCCCGCGCTGGGCGCCCGCGCCGGGGCTGCGGGGCGGCCGCGGAGCCGCCGAGCGCTGCGGCAGCACCGGCATCACCGCCGAGCCTGCTTCCTCTTCTCCTGCCTCCAGAGCCTGCCTCCTCTCCTGCCTCCTCCGTCCCCCGCCTCCGCCGCGGGGCGGGCGCGGGGCCGCTGCTGCGCTGCGCGCTCGGGGCATCCCCCGCCGCCCGCACCGGGGGGAGCGCGGGCTCCTGCCCCTCCCGGGCAAGGGGAGGGGGAGAAGGAGAGGGATGAAGAGCCCCCGCCCCGAGCGGGGCCCGCGGCTGCGGCGCAGCCCCCGCACGGCCCGCGATGGAGGCCCGAGCCCGGCCCGGGGGCCGCCCCCGCTTCCCCGCGGCTCGGCCGGGCATCGGCATCGCCCCCGCGGTGGGTGCGGGGCTCCGGCGGGGCGAGGCGGGGCCGGCCGCGGTAACGCGCTCGGGCTCGTCCGTGTCACTGAAAGTTTGAGCCCCCCAGGCCGGTGCGGGGTCCTCTCCCGAACTCTGCGCCCCGGCTTTCCCGCATGGAAGCCCTACCCTCCCCCTTGGAGCCTTATCATCTCCCTTGGAGCCTCATCCTCCCCCTTGGACCCCCGGCCTCCTCTGACAGGCACGGAATCACGACGGGAGCATCCCGCTGCCCGAACGCTCCGTGTCGGCGCCAGGGAACGGCTTTGGAGCTGTCCCCGCCACGGTGAGCGAGGATCGGCTCTGCCTCAAACACCAACACGAGGTGGAGTGATGAAAACATCATAAGCGAGAATTGACATCCATTAATGCCAGAATGCTGACTATTCTGAGAGCACAGCCCCCACTCAACAACCCCATCAACCCCGCTGTTCCCAGCTCTATTCACGTGCCACAGTTTTTCAGAGAGATGACACCAACACGGATTAAAAGTTGAAGCAACCTTGAGTCATTGTATCCTACAAGGCAACTTTTGAAAAGGTAAGAATAACCCCTCTCACCCCCGAGCCATAATTAAAAACAACAACAAAAAAAATTGAAACAAAAAAATCAATGCTATGGAAACAGACCTAAAATTGCTTTGGAGGATTTGGAGTTTTAATTTAGTCCTAGCTGCACATGAAATCTTTTATGGCTTCTGCATTCAGAGCGAGGACCCTGCTACAAACCTGGAGAAGAGTGACAGGCACATAACTCACTGTCAGACCCTAAAACACCGTGGTCAGTCCATCATCCACACTCAGCTTCATTATTCTGCTAAGAGGGTGAAACGATGTGAATGATTTGGGTGACATGAAGCTGGAAATACCTTACAAATTGCTGAAAACCAGCTTTTGGCTGGCACTGATGGGAAGCTTAGCCCAACACCTGCAGCTCTGGGGGTTCTTCGGGGGTGTTTTGGCACGAGTTTTGTTTCCAGAGCTGACAACTGGGATGTTTTCTCTAGATCAATAAAAGCACTTTTTATTAAACAAATAAACAAACACCACCTCAGCTTTGCAAAGCAGTTTACCAAAAAGGGAAACCACATGGCCTGAACTGTCAGGAGCAGAAATATTTGAGCAAACAGAAAACTGCCTGCTGCTTATTCTGAAGCAGCCTGGGCTAGAGACCCATTCCTGTTGTCCTTCATTACCCAGTGCTCCCACTGAAGTCAGGTTGGTGCATTGCACAGAAACAGCAAGATCTATTTTAATTATAAAATAGCTTGGGAAAAGCTGGATTTAAAGACATTTGGCACATGGCTATTCCATATGATCCTAATGCAAAAAAAAACCAAAAAAAAAAACCCAAACTCTTAGGATCTTAAAACAAAACAACAAACAATTTGAAGCAGCTCCTTGCTGAAGCACAAGGCAAGTATTTGGCCCCCACTTTCCCCAAGAAAGGAGCAGAACTAAGTCCCTGAAGGAAGCAGGGAGGAAGGGAGAAAGCCACATCTCTCCTTAGGGTGACAGCCACAGGACACCCAGCACTGTGAGTGTCTGTGGGCCCGGGGAGGGCAGCGTGGCAGGAGAGAAGGAATAGGCACAAAAAATGCAAGGAAAAAAATGTGCTGTGTGGGAAATACCATGAGAGCTTAAAATTAGGAGTACACATCAACAGCCCCCTGCCCTGTCTGGGTGGATTAAGCTCAAACACCTCTCCAGGTACCTGCTGTTGTTGCTGCTTTTCCTTCTGTTAAGGGAGAACCAAACACCTCCCCTAAAGCAACGTGGGGAAGAGCAGAGTACTTCACACAACACACAAGAAGGATGAAAAAGCCCCCTGAATCAGAGAATCCCAGAATCAAAAAGGTTGGAAAAGACCTCCAAGGCCATCAGCCCAGCACCACCCCCCTGTTCACCCCTAAACGAGTCCTCAAGTGCCTCATCCCCGCCCTTCCGAACACTTCCAGGGATGGGGACTCCACCACTGCCCTGGGCAGCTGTGCCACTGCTCAGCAATCCTTCCAGAGGAGAAAGTTTTCCAAATATCCAACCTGAACCTCCCCTGGCACAACTGGAGGCCGTTTGATTGTGTCCTGTCCTGAGGATGGACACCAACAGGATGAGGCTGAAGGAGCCCAGACAGAGTAGTGCTTTGTGGCAGTGAAGTCCTGAGAGCAGCTCCCCCCGTGCCCTGGAGCATGAATTTCCTTCGAGCTTGGCACCACCCCGAGACTGAATTAAACATCAACAGCAAATACAAACTACAGTTTGTATACAAAATACAGCTTGTATTACATTATTTGTATATACAAACACATTTGTGTTACATTATTTGTATATAGAAAATACAGTTTGTATTTGCTATTGAAGTTTAATTCAGTCTCGAGGTGCAGTTTTGCTACAAACATGGAAAGGTTCATCAAGACCCCACTCTCTAAATCAAGGTTCAACCAAGGGCTAGCTCAGCCTCCACTGGAGGGTCTGGGCTTTTTCTCTTTTTTTTTTTAATCAGTTTTTCCATTTTCACTACCGAAAAAAAAAAGCATGAAACATTGTTACTAAATAGAGAGGAAGAACTAAAGGATATTTCTCAGTATCAGGGAGAGAAGATCAGTTTGCATGTCTAATAGAAAAATTCTATTTTTGCCCATTCCAGTGGAGTTCTATGAACAGCACACACACTTTTCAAGTGCTAGCCAAAATAATTACTTCTCTCCTTCTGTGGGGGAAAAAAAATCCCCTAAATCATGAATATTCAATGGATTGGTTAATGACATAGTAATGCTTTAGCTCAAATCTCTGCTCCTTAAAATACAGTGAACACGAGCTGCCAGTTACAAGAAGACTTAAAAACACAAAAATAACTTGATTTCCAGAAGTTATCTCAGCCTGATCACTTTGGAAGTATCTGATGGTGGCATGATACCATGACATATCTGGGGCAGACTCTCCTCACATTCTGAGAGATGTAAAACAGGCAGGAAAAAATAGGTTTTGCTACTTACTGGAGCCAGTGCCAGTGCTGAGTGTTCTCCAGGGCACAGGGCAAACTCAGCTCCACCACATGTTTGGGTCTTGTAGGTAAATTTGCTTGAACTGCATAAATCTGTGACTAAACCACTGTATGAAAGCCATGATCTGCATGAGGAAAAAAACACAAAAAACTAAACTCCCCCTACCCCCAAAAAAAACCAGGTTCAACTTAAAGCCATGATTTGTTTCCTCCAAATCTTAGAGTTGTGGCTGGGGTGCTCTCAGTGAAACTGGGTTATTTCTTTGTGTGCAGGTGGTGCTCAGGAGCTGCTCATCTTCCCTTTTCTCCCTCAGGCTCTTAGGAATTCCTGATTATTCAGCTTAACTTTGTTCCTTTGCTGCCCAAAACCAGCTCTGAGAAAGTCCAACCCCCCTGGAGGGAGGTGAATTTTAACCTCCATGTTGTCCATGGGCTCCTTGTTTTTCCCACTGGTGTTTTCCCCCTGCAAGGGTCACCAACACCCCTGAATTCCTCTGTGCCCTCCATCCACTGGCCATGGGAGGCCTGGGCTGGAGAAATGAGCAAACACTTGCAACAAAAGCCACTTTTTGCTTTCAGAAGCTGATATTAAAAAGCTGATGGCACTTTGTCTGCTCTCTCTGGAGTCATTTTTGACAGTACTTTGGGCACGTATTTACTATCAAGGAGTGAACCCTTTGTCTCCAGCCTTCACTTTCCCCCACTGTGGGAGCAGCCAATGCACAAAAGTAACTTTCTTCAGTCTTATCTTCAAAGTTGGGAACATATTTAGTTCTGTGTTACAATAACTCTATTCATATTTCATGAGTTTTTAAGTTCAGGCTGTGAGCATGGACAGCTCATCACTGACACATCAGGGAAATGCTGGGAAAAAACAAGCAACTTATTGTGCTTTTTGCTTATGAGATTGCTTTATGGTTCCCCCAAGGATATTAAAAAGATCTTTGCATTGGTTATCAATAAAGATCTTTCAGGATCAGCATTTATAAACCTTCTAGAATGGCCTCAACTCTTGACTGAGTTCAGAATTGAAGGAACTTGCTCAGAAAAAGCAGAATTACAGATTAAGGCTCAACTATTCTTTAGTTTTGCTTCTTTGACTTCAATATTCAGCTTGATGACCAAAATCTGATTCTTAAATCATTTTATAATTAGAGCTGTTTTGAAAAGTTTCAGCTTCTTTCTTGAAAAACAGGGGGGAAGGGAGAAGAGCAAGTTTGTTGAAATTTTGATAAATTATTGAAAAAAATCAGAAAATCCATTTTAAATACTGACTTTTTGCATGACTAGAAAATAAATTCTCACTTA